CCCCCCCCCCCCCCCTTACTAGAAAGGACACCATCTTTCAATATAAAGGACTTAAAATAAATCTCCTAAAATGGGTCACAACCACATCACCTTTCTTAAGTGATGAACATTTTAATCTCTTTGTCTCAAAATCCATCCATTCACTACAAACTGTCTTGGACTAACTAACTAGACCTGATGCAATTTATATTAGTACATATTTAATTATGGGCTTACCATCTGATATGGGTCTAAAGGCAGTGTTAGGTCCATTAAACAAAAGATGAAGAGCTTTATAACTTTTGTTTAAAGTAAGCACATTAACTCACTGTTTGTGACCCACCAATTATTCAGATATATAGCTTATGGACTTAGTCCATAGATCAATAATGCCCATATTCTGTATACTTAACCATATAATAAACAGACACTAACTGTGTTACTTTCGATAAAGACCAGCATTATAATATTGGGAGTAGTTGTTTGATATTGAACAACTTGTGTATGCCTGTCTAGCCTCCATGGACTATTGGGCTGATATCTGTGATGAAAGGACCTTAGCTAAGATAAAATTTTCATCTTTCCTTTGTCCGACCATGACACATGGGGGACAAGTTCTTGCAGATCAACAAGAAAAAGGTTAGGGGATTCCAGAACTAATGTAAATATTAACCAGATGGTTATCAATATGCCAACTGTTCTTTCTAGAGTTCTCAGGGATATTGACATTGACATGGAGGGGACACAGGGATAGGGATATGTGAGGGCCTCTCTGAGTGATGGGCCCCCGTATTAATCCAAACTCAACACTGATAAAAGAAAGGATGAAGATGGAGAACTTGTGTTATAGATGAGATCCTCACAGTTTGAGGATAAAAGCATAAGCATCAGCGCTATGATAAAAAAAGAAGAAGGCAGATCAATGAGTTGGGTCTTAAAGAAAGTGACCCAAAAGATGTTACAAAAGCAATCATTCAATGCCATATATTCATGTTCTGCCCCGATGTCTCCATGAATTTCACAAGTCATGAGGAGATGCTGATGCCTTTTTGTAAGGCCAAACTGACTTCTATCACTTCAATCAATTTTCTAAATATTGCCACCAGAGTATTTGGTTGAGACATATCATACTCTTTACATAGTATAAATCCAAGTGGGAACTACCACAAATGGTCTATATTTTTAATATTGTTG